GCCGCCTGCTGCTTCTTCTGCGGTGACTTCCCTTAAGGCATCTTGGTAGGACAATTCTTCTTTAGCGAAAAGTCTCTGTTGTAGATCTCGATGCCTTAACCCGCACATGAATCGGTCCCTCAGTCATTCTTCGAGGTCTTTGAACTCGCAGTGCTTGGCGGCCTTCCGTAATGCGGCGATGAATCTTTGGCCGACTCACTGGGCCGTTGATCCCTCTGCTCGAAGGTGTGGCGCCATGCGATGACGGACATCTTGGGGTGGAAGTGCTCCTTCAATAGCTTCTTTAGATCTGCGTAGCTGACAGACTCTAATGGAACAGGTGCTGCAAGGTTCTCTGCGATTTCGAAGGCGTCTTGGCCGCAGACACAAAGCAGGGTGGCAGCCTTCAAGCTATCTTCCCTCACTTGGTTCGCCTTGAGGTAGTTTTCCATCCTGGCTACGTAGGAGTCCCACCGCTCTGGATGTGAGATGTCGAACTCCGAAAGCCTTCCAACCTTTGCCATCTTCTGGAGACGGGTCTATCAGCCAGCCTACCCCCGAATGCGCACTGGATTGGCGGGTAGCTGCCGAGTCGACGCCGTTCCGCTGCTCAGGACTCACTTGGGTAAGCTTACACTTCTTCCTTTCCAGGTGGTGTAAGGCAATCCCACCTTCGTCGCCAGTGTTGAGTCCTTGGCGCGAAGCAGACACGAGAAGCAGTTGGAGTTCTCAGTTTTCTTTATTCTGCGTTCAGCTTACAAGTAGATGGCTTTCCTTAAGCTTCCCAAACGCTCGCAGCCTCTTATATAGGCAACTCCCAGGTAAATGTGTTACTTTTCCCGCGCCAGCACCCGCACATGCGCACGGCGCTGGCGACAGCCTGTCTGGTCCCGGGCAGCCTTGCACCTGCTCGGGACTGCCTGCAAACGCCCAAGCCGTTTTCAAGGCTCGGGACATAACAGTGCTCTTGCAATTAAACTAAAAAACAGTGCTTGAAAGGTAGAAATATATGGGTTTTTATGTGATATGTTCTCTATCATTCTACTTTGTATCGGAAAGCTATCTGCTTGAATGGTTATCTAGTCCAAGTCCAGTTTTAAATTGTAGAGCTATAAGAAGGGAATACTTTCAGCAACTTTGGCAGCTAAGGCATACTGTTTTCCAGTGTAGCTGGATGCCCATTATATATCTTTCTGAGGAGGCAGACTCAGTTGTTAATCAATGAAACTCTGGAGAGCAACTCGGAGTAATGCTTACAGTTAGTTAAATGGATGGCTAGTAGGAAAGTGTAGAAAATAGGGAAGATGATAGAAATATTTAAGGACCATTAACTTGATAAAAGGTACTGAAAAACTTTTTAAGCCCTAAGAAACATGATAATATCCATAGTGACTTAGACAAATGCTTCCCTTATTCTAGTGGTTAAGACATCAGGCTAGAAAGTTGGAGACTGAATTCTAGTCCCACCTTACCCATGAAAACCAGCTGGGTGACTATGGGCCAAACACTTTCTCTCAGCTCAACTCACCTCAAAGGGCTGTTGTTGTGGGGAAAACATAAGGAGGAAGGTGTTTTGGTTATGTTTGCTGCCTTGAGTTATTTGTAAAAATAATACAGATAGGATACAAATAAATAAAAAAGAGGGAGGGGAAGATATAACAAAATCAGATTTGCAAGAGTCTGTCATTATAGCCAGCAGGGCTTTTTTTCTCATAGAACGCCCAGAACAGAGTTCCGGCACCTTTTTTGGATGGAACCTTGTAGGGTAGGCAAGGCGGGTTGTATGACATGTGTGAGTTCTGGAACTTTTTTTTTTTTAGAAAAAAAACACTGATCGCCAGTATCAATAAAGTAGTCCTGTATGGGGCCAAAACCAAGAATGATATATAACAATTCTTCCAAGCTGAATATTTTATTGTTTCACAGCTATAGATCTTGCCAAACTGAGAATTCTACTATATGCATGTATAATATACTTGGTAAACTATTAGGGAAGGGCTGTCTTCATCCTCTTTGTCTCACACATAATATTTGGACTAAGTTGCCTCTTACCCCTTCTACCTCCTCTCATCTGGGAATCCATCTATTCGCGACATTCCATCACATGGTCTTCTGCAGAGGTGATTTCCTGTTGTAGTTTACCTATTGGACTGACATAAATTGTGTGACAGTATTACAACCACCAAAGAAAAAATATCAGTGAAAAGGACAGTTGCATAGGAAGCAATAGCAGATCCTCTTCAGGTAGCCATAGGTTTAGTCAACTTGGGCTGTTTTTAGAGTCAGAACTTCATGGCCACAATTTAAAAACAAATAATTACATGGTAGAAATTATAATATAACTTGAAGATGCTAACCACAAATTGCTCTGCTGCTTATATCCACTATTCACCTGAGGAACTTACCAGAGGCATCATTTCTGGAAAACCCTGTAATCTAGCCTAGGGATATGCTGGAACAAGTTCATGCAAGATGCAGACATTCCTTAGTTTATTATCTAATCTTAGATTATAAAATTGATTTTTCATAATTCAATCCATGCTATAGATTATGCCATTATTATTTCCCCCAAATATATTGTGTGAACTATGTCCATGTTCATTGTATCTTTTATCAGCAACAATCCTGAAATTATAAAAGAAAAGAATGGCAAGATCTAGGTCAAATACTGTACAAGGCAGTTTTTAATCTTGCTGGAGGAAGAAAAACATGTGAACTGATTAAAAAAGAAAACAAAACAAAATCAAAAAAAGCTTTAATCAGTGTAACTGTCAAACTAATGCAACTCTAAAATCCTTGGTTTACACAGAAACATCACACAGACAAGAAATTTATTTCTGACTAAACACAAAGAACTCCACATTTTCTTTTTAAGTATATTTTATTTGAAAGCACAGCACAAAATATATTCCTTTATTTGAAAGGAAAGTTTCAGGCTGGATATTTCTAAACATTTCCAGCTTTTCCAATTTGTTGACAAAATGTGAATTATTTTGGAGCTGTGTCCCTGTGGCTTGTCATGTCAGTTATTATATTGAAAAATTACTTAAAAATGCTTTGACACTGAACTTTATGAATTTGTTCCAACTGACCTTGTCTCAGTTATTTGCCATTCTAGCACATTGTTATTTGCCTTGTGCAACGCTAAAAAAAACCATGTAGCAAAAGACCTAGCATTTATGTGCTTACGAATAAAGAATCTGCTTTAAGTAAAGAAATCAACATGCTTGTCTCAAAGTCCATTTTCTCTCAGATGGTTTCCTTTCTGCAGAATTCCTCATAAAATGCTTCCATGTATTTGTTTTCTTTTTAATTCAGTGAAATGAACATTTAAACATATTTGTAAATTATCCTTTTCTCTGCACAGCTTAAGTTAATAAAATTAATATACAAAGTTTCAGAATTGTTATATCTAAACTAATATTGTGGCTATATTGTCAATCAGTCACTGTCTTCAAAACATCTTCACTCTTTTTATTGTTACTTTTCTTTGATTTTCTTCCTTTATTTTTTATTTTGAAGGAAAGAAATATGAAGTTTAGTTTCTCGATTTTTAATTGGTTCAATTTCGGTTTTGTTTACCCTTTAATTCAAACTACAATGATTATTGCTAACAATGCATAACAAATATTGTTCATAAAATGGGCTTTTGGTTGAGCATCACCTTTACTTTTCATGAAATTGTCTGACCATTATATTCACTTGATCTAAATGGGCTATAATGCCAGTATAGAATTGGAATTCCTGATCATGTCTTTATCCCGTATAATAGTGCAGGAATTTTTTGTAAATATTGGTAGCAAAAGATGCTAAAATTTAATGAAAAAGCCATGGGACCTGTACACATCCATGCTAAATTCTAGGTTTCCGTTCTGCTAAAGCAGACATGTCAAACACAAGGCCCGGGGGCCAGATGCAGCCCGCAAAGTGGTTTCATGTGGCCCGCGAAGCCATCCAGAAAACAGTGAGGGAACGGCTTTCGCTGTCTTGGCTCAGGCTGACCGGGAGCCAATGTACAATTTTGTGGTGGCCATCTATGCTGAAACGCATTCAATCTTAGCTCCACAAGGCCATCTAGAAACAGCAAGGAACCAGCCCCTGACACATTGGCCCCGCCCCCTGGGTGCATGCTGGGGAGGTGTCACCCTTTGTGAGGAATGAAGAAATGAACCATGCCTTGGCGTTTGCCCTGGTCCCACCCCCTTCGCCAGAGACCCTCAGATCTGTCCCATTCCTGCCCCACAGGCACCCTTGACGCGAACGATGTAGAGCTGGCCTTACCCACCCAGTAGGCCACACCCACTCCATGCCCACCCAGTAGGCCGCACTCACCTGGCCCCCCAAGGGAAACCGCAATGCTGATGCGGCCCTCAATGAAATTGAGTTTGACACCCCTGTGCTAAAGTGTTTGTGTCATCTGCTTCTTACAGTACTGAGAAGTTACAGCTCCTTTGATGACTGAATTGTGCAAAAGAATATGTATACTCAAGTCTTTGTGCTATACGTTTATTTAAATCTTGTAGAATTCTGAAGCAACATGATATTAACTTCTTCTAATGGCATAATTGATATCCTCAGATGGTTTCATGTTGTATGATGTATTAGGAAACAAGCATCAATTATGATAACATATAATATAAAAAAGCTATGCTATCCACAATTATGCACCATATTAAACCAAAATATGTTTGTGGTTTATCATGTCATGTGAAGCCAGCCTTTGGTTTGATTTATGGATTAGAATATTATGTGAATCCAACAAGTTATAGTTTATGAATTAATCATGGTTAAACAAATCATGACCTAATACAATAAATATACCAGATCTATACAATAGAGTGAGAATGACCACAGAATTAAAAAGAAGTTACAGAAACAGAAATTGAAATTAAAAAAATCATACAGATTCAGTAGAACTGATTATAATTAAAGTATTTTTATAAAATGCAGAAAATACTACTTTTGTCTTTCTAAGTCCATTTATTTTTTTAATGATATTTTATGTTTATGTTTTTTCTTAGACGGCTTGATGCTAACCATATTAGCTTCATACCTCCCAACTGTTTCAGTGGCTTGGTGTCACTCAGATACCTGTGGCTAGATGATAACTCTTTGACTGAAATTCCAGTGCAAGCTTTCAGAGGTTTGCCAGCACTACAGGCAATGACTCTTGCACTCAACAAAATCTACTACATTCCAGATTATGCTTTTCGAAATCTCTCCAACTTAGTAGTGCTGTAAGTTTGTATTTGACTTTAGACATAAAATTTAATTAATTTTCAAGAACTTCAGCTACTGACTTCATGAAAGTATGTGTTTAATATAAACCTAGTTCTTTTAGTAGAGCAGCAAATATTTAAGTCCAAAACCTGGTTAATGGAGACAATTGAATGCTAACATGAGGTAAAAAAATCCTGAAGCTGAAAATACTGAGATTTATCTTTGTATTTTATTTTTGTATATTTTATTTTGGCAATATGTTTATAAAAAAGCTTTATTGCAGTTTAATCCTGAGATTCGTTGCATTAGAAAGTAAGTATTTTGGGGTACAGTATTTTGCCTTTTTTCTACCTTATTTCAAAATAATTGTACCCTACCAAAAAGTTACGTAAATGTTCAGATTGGAAGAATCCCAACTGTTAAATGTATTGAAACTGATGTGGTCCCTAGCCTCCCACTCCCCATTGTAGTTAGGTTGGGTTGCTGCATTGGCTTGGGGCAGGGATATTAACATTTTTTTAGTGAACTGTCCTGTCTGCATATTAAAAAATAGTGAGAATGGGAGAAAAGTTAAAATGAATTAGTCAAAATGAAAATATATTAAGTATAGTAACCTTGATTTCGCTCCATGTATTTGATGATTTATCTTTCTGTTGCATAAACAATTACAGTTTTACAGCAGTTCTACTTTACTGGCAGAAAGGGAAGATATATATAAATTGTAAAACTAAGTAGAAACTTAAAGTATTGGAGAAACATGAGGATTATTATAAGAATCATGTGTGGTATTGACTTGAAGACTTTTATGTTTAAGTTACTTGTGTAATCTCTACACACCAGTGTTATGTATTATTTCATCATGCTGCCTAATTGGATCTGTGGTACATAGTCTTGTACAGAAATCAAAATTCATTCATTCATTCATTCAATTTCTATAGCTGCTCATCTCAATGACTTACAATTCAAAAACTATATTACAATTAAAACAATAAAAACATTTTAAAACAGTGCAAAACATTCAAAATAAATATACATAGCAGCTTAGATACTTGGCCAGTTAGCAATATGGAGCACTTCATACATTCAGTACCCCAGGCTTGGGAACACAGCCAGCTTTTTAGAGCCATACAAAAGACTAACAAGATCGGGGCAATTCTAATCTCCGATGGGAGGATGTTCTACAGAGTAGGAGTCACTGCAGAAAAGCCTGTCTTCTAGTCCCCACCAGCTGACACTCTTTAACTGATGAGATCTGCAGCATACCTATTCTGCTAGATCGATTTGGATGTGTAGAGAGTTATGGAAAAAAATGTGATCCCCAGGTAACCCCTCAGGTAACATAAGCCATGTAGGGCTTTAAAAGGTGGCAACCAACATCTTGAATTGCACCCAGAAACATATCAATAGCCAATGCAGCTCACACAGAAGTAGAGTTACTTGTGCTGTATATCTAGCACATTGACTATCCATGCAGCTGCATTCTACACCAGCTGAAGTTTTCAAATGCTCTTCAGAGGCTTCCTCATGTAAAATGTGTTGTAGTGGTCTAAACTAGAGGTTATAAGGGTATGAATTACTATGGATAAGACCTCCTGATCAAAGAATGGATGCAACTGACACACCACCTGAACGAGTGCAAAGGCCCTTCTAGCCAACACTGACACTTGTTCTTCAAGCAGGAGCCGAGAGTTTAAAAGGACTCCCAGCTTGTGTACAACCACATCTGGAACTAAAGATGGAAGAACCTTTTATATTTGGAGGATCCAAATATTGACAGCCACTCTATCTTGTTAAGGTTAATATAAAGGGACACAGAGTGGTATGTGTGAGAAGACATGATTCTGATTTCATATCTCACATTGGTTCAAAAATACAAAAATAGATTCTTATAAGTAATAGGATCCCTTATGTGATACTTTCCTTAAAACGTTCTCATTTGACATGTAGGATATAAGAAATATTTTTAAAAGTAAATGTATAAAGAAATATTTGTTATTTAATAACAGTATTTCCAGATGGTTCACATTCAGGCACTTGGTGATCCCCCATAGCCAGATATTTAGCTATTTGTTCTTCAGTCAGTTAACAAGAATAACATGCAAAATAATCAATGATAATGTCTGGTCTCCTTTGCTGTCAACCTTCTATATGATAGGCCATTTCGAAGGTACCTAACTGGAGGGAAGTGTCCTGGTGGTCTTTGTTTCATTGGCTTTTAGTATGTTTCAAGGGACCATAACACATCGTATTTCTGAAATAAGTAATTTGGGGATGGATAACAAGTTTCTGTGGGATAGCCACTTTGATTTGGGGGAATGCTCAGTAGTTCTTATTACCGTGAGAATGGCACTGGAAGAAATTTGAGCTTGTGGTAGAATCATCCTTGCTAGTACAGTCAAAAGAGTAAGAGTAATCGATAGGGGAAATTAATGCTAATGATGCTTTACAAGTTTGAGAGAAACAACCATACCTTGGAAAATATTCTAAAACCAAAGCCAAGGAAAGCAATGGCAAGCCATTTTTGTGTTGCTACTACTATTTGGACGTGTGACTATAATATTTAGGCAGTTATGGGTGCTGATAAAACTTCAAGGTTGAAAAGCACTGTAAGGATGAGGATGACGTTTTCATAAGTACATTTAAAGATGACAGCATGGCTATGCTAAAGCTGCAAAACAGTGCTATCATCACATTACAGATTTGGAGTAGAGTAATAAGAGTATCTACAAGAGGAACTAATAAAAACTGTTTTCTTGAAGTGGTGATCAGCAAAACTCACAAATTTTGGGCATGTAGTATGAGCAGATAATGAGCTAGAAAATATTTTACCTTGACAAACTTATATGTAAAAGAACATTAAATAAAGTGCATAGACAGGGAGATAAAGATTACTGAAATTTTACTATAGATAACTAATGTAAGCATTTGTACACAGAATGAGATTTGATCTTGACTGAAGAGCACCTAAATTAACTTTGAAAAGAGCAAGAAAGCACTTAATCATATGTTGAGGTGTAGGTAAGAAAAGAACATGAGCAATGTAAGAAGAAAAGTCATGAAAATAGAAATAAGCAGATTAGAAGCCAAATGAAAATGCAAATAGATGAGCAATTGGTAGAATCTATTCTGTACTATCCAGATGTTTGTAAAAATAACTCACAAATGATGGGAGAGCAGGGGTAACCATTAAAATGTTTTCCTTTGTTGTAGTTTTCTATACATAATTTTTTCCTCATATTCTGAATGGTCTGCTTCAGGCATCTCCATAACAATAGAATCAACTTCTTGGGAAAGAAATGCTTCGATGGCCTCCATAGCCTAGAGACTTTGTGAGTTGACCTTTTTTACATGCCTTTTCCAGTGTTTCCATTGACATTCTGCAAATCATTTTTTTTTAAGCCTAAATAAAAATTTAAAGAAGTTCCTAATGTTGACTCTATTGTTAAATTCTTAAGGATGCAGTCCAATCCACACTTAAATGGAAGCCAGTTTTCCTCATTTTATTTTCCTTTAATTGATAGGGTTGCTTTGCTATATATTAGCTTTTTTATTTTATAGACAATGGGCATTTGAAAAAGCTAATGGATATGTACTAAGAGAATAATCAATATCTCTCTGTTGACTAATTAAATTTTTGATCAATCTTCAAAAAATTTGGCCCAGATTAAACTATAGTTTTCTTCATATTTGCAAAAACAGGTTTTACTTATGTAGTAAAAATTGCAAAGACTAGTAAAAACATTTTCCTTATTTTTCCTTTAAGATTAATTTAGTAAACTGACATGAACTTTAAGGATGATAGAGCATAACTTACTCTGATCAACTTAATCAAAAATAGGGATCTAAAGTTGAGGAGGGCAGATTAATCAAGGAGAATATAACAAAATATTAAATAAATGCAAATATCAATCATATTTATAAAAAATCATTGATGGGCATGGGTCCAATCTACTTGAGGAACCAATGAGACTGGCCCATCCCACCCATGATGGCAGAGGAGGCATACCGTGAATCCTGTCAGCCAGTCTGGAACATCTTATCCCCTGAGATGAGACTGGTTCCCACCCTCCTAATATTTTGTAAGAGCCTTAAGACCTGACTCTGCCAGATGTCTTGGACATCCAGTGGGAAAGCTTCATACTGGAGGTGGTTGATTAATTTAAATTCAACCCCCTTCCCTTTCCCTTGTGTCCAGCTCCCTTCTTTGCCAGCTTGTGTCCATAATTTTATCAGTTAATGTTTTTATCTGCTGTGTTCTTACGATGGATGATATTAATGTTTTTCAGAGTTGTTGGGTACAAGATGGGTGGCAAATACATTTTATAAATAAAAAAAGTTCTATAAATGTATAAATCTAAAAATGCAGTGCAAAACAGATAAGCACTTTCAAATATGAAGATTAGGTAGCATCTAACGAGGGGTGTTTTTTTTTCCAATTCAGAGATTTAAATTACAACAATCTAAATGAATTTCCCACTTCTATCAATGTCCTCAGAAACCTGAAAGAACTGTGAGTACAGAATTGATCTTCAGCTCCTCGGTTTCCAGTGTTCATTTTGATTCAGACTTGATTCAGACTTGAACACTGGGCGCTATCTAACAAAATGAAATTCAATGGTGAAAAAAGCAAGGCTCTACATCAGTGGTTCTCAACCTCGACTTACGACCCCCAACCGGTCGTAAGTCAAGGACTACCCAACCGGTCGTAAGTCAAGGACTACCCAATCGGTCATAAGTCAAGGACTTTCCCTGCCTGGGAGCGCTGCGCAGGCATGGTGCCGCCACCTGCGCCAGCCAAGGTGTAGCTGGCAAGGGGCAGTGACGGCGCAGGGTGACCACTGGCTGGGCAACCAGCTGGCCAGCCCAAGGGAGGTAAGGCACCCGCCGGGCCCCACGCACGTCAGCAACCCTCCCTGCGCCCGCTGGCCTCCCACCTCCCACCCCTGGCCCTCTTTTACTTACATTTTTAGTAGTTGCTCAGCAGGGAGGGGTGGAAACTTCCAGACAGCTCGCCTTCGCTGCAGACAACTTGCAGCACTGTTTGCAGAATGGGACTTTTGGCAGGCTTAGCAGGGCAGAGACAGCCTGGACAATTCCTATTGGCTTTTGAAAGCCAATAGAATTAGACTCTATTCAAGAGAGTCTATTCTATTGGCTTTCAAAAGCCAATAGAATAAAAGGGAGTAGCACAGCTAAGGAAAAGGGGGAAAAATGGTGGAGAACCGCTGTTCTACATTTAGGCAAGAAAAACCAAATGCACAGCTATAGTATAGGGGGTACCTTGCTCAATAGTAGTAAAGAGAGGGACCTTGGAGTCCTAGTGGACAATCACCTAAATATGAGCCAGCAATGTGCTGCAGCTGCCAAAAAGGCCAACACAGTGCTAGGCTGCATTAACAGAGGGATAGAATCAAGATCACGTGAAGTGTTAATACCACTTTACAATGCCTTGGTAAAGCCACACTTGGAATACTGCATCCAGTTTTAGTCACCACAATGTAAAAAAGATGTTGAGACTCTAGAAAGAGTACAGAGAAGAGCAACAAAGATGATTAGGGGACTGGGGGCTAAAGCATATAAGGAACGGCTGCTGGAATTGGGTATGTCTAGTTTAATGAAGAGAAGGACGAGGGGGGACATGATAGCAGTGTTCCAATATCTCAGGGGCTGCCACAAAGAAGAGGGAGTCAATCTATTTTCCAAGGCACCCGAAGGCAGGACAAGAAGCAACGGGTGGAAACTAATCAAGGAGAGAAGCAACCTAGAACTAAGGAGAAACTTCCTGACAGAACAATTAACCAGTGGACCAACCTGCCTCCAGAAGCGGTGAATGCTCCAACACTGGAGTTTTTAAGAAGAGACTGGACAGCCATTTGTCTGAAATGATATAGGGTTTCCTGCCTGAGCAGGGGGTTGGACTAGATGGCCTCCAAGGCCCCTTCCAACTTTCTTCTTCTTCTTCTTCTTCTTCTTCTTCTTCTTCTTCTTCTTCTTCTTCTTTCTTCTCTTCTCTTCTTCTTCTTCTTCCTATATTATTATTATTATTATTATTATTATCGCACAGTCAGCCAGATGTTCAGACTGGATTTGGCATTTTGTCTACCTATCGAGTCCTTACCCAGGACCCTGGTATTACAGGTATCGTCGCAGGATGGAAGCAGATGTTAGGAACTGCTTATATATTATTATTATTATTATTATTATCGATCATCGCACAGTCAGCCAGATGTTCAGACTGGATTTGGCATTTTGTCTACCTATCGAGTCCTTACCCAGGACCTGGGATAGGCAGATGTGGATGTTTGATGGTATTACAGATATCGTCGCAGGATGGAAGCAGTTCCTAATAAGGCCGCCTTTTGCAATTGACTAATAGCGAATTTGTCAATGCCAATGGTGTTCAAGTGGTGCTCCAGTTGTTTTGGGATTGCACCCAAGGAGCCTATGACTATTGGTACTACCCTTGCTTGCTTTTGCCACAGTCTTTCTATTTCTATTTGTAGGTCTTTGTATTTTGTTATCTTCTCCAGTTCTTTCTCTTCTATTCTGCTATCTCCAGGCACTGCCACGTCCACTATCCAGACTTTTTTGTCTTTCTTATCGACAATTGTTAAGTCTGGGGTGTTATGTTGCAGGTGCTTGTCTGTTTGAATTCTGAAGTCCCAGAGCAGTTTAATTTTATCATTTTCTATGACTTTCTCTATTTTATGATCCCACCAGTTTTTGCTTACAGGCAAATGATATTTTTTGCAGATCTTCCAATGCACCATTGTTGCTACTTTGTCATGCCGCTGCTTGTAATCAGTTTGTGCAATCTTCTTGCAACAGCTTACCAAGTGGTCCACTGTTTCTTCAGCTTCTTTGCATAGGCGGCACTTACTGTCTGTTGCTGTCTTCTCAATTTTGACTTTGTATGCATTTGTCCTTAAGGCTTGGTCTTGTGCAGCCAGAATTAGTCCCTCGGTCTCTTTCTTCAATTTTCCTGCTCTTAGCCATTGCCAGGTTTTATTGTTATCTGCTTTCCCAGCTATTTTTTTCATGTATCGGCCATGTAGTGCTTTGTCTTCCCATGCCTCTATTCTGTTCTTCATTTGGTCTTTCTTGAAGCCAGTTTGGTCTCTCCAGTAGTTAGTAAGCCTTCCTGATATACTAATTTCAGTGCATCTTCATCATTGTTCTTCAGATATTCTTCCAAAGCCATTTTTTTTTCTTCAACCATCTGATGTACTTGTAGCATTCCACGCCCACCTATTTGCCTTGGTAGATAAAGTCTATCAATGTCACTGCGTGGATGAAGGGCATGATTCATTGTCATTATTTTTCTGGTCTGCCTATCCATTGCTTTTAGTTCTGCTTGAGTCCAGTCCACTATTCCAGCTGTGTACCTAATGACTGGGATTGCCCAGGTGTTGATTGCCTTTATGGTATTTCCTCCATTGAGTTTGGATTTTAAGATCTTCTTCACTCTCTTGATGTATTCACCTCTAATCTTTTTCTTGACTTCAGTGTGCTTGATGTTGTCAGCTTGAAGGATTATTATTATTATTACTACTATTACTATTATTATTATTATTAAGTCCTGACATATTTATTATCACAGTTCTACAGCAAAAATCACTGCCTATTTTTCAGAATATACATTTCATTTCAGCTTTTGTAGATATTGTTTTTTTAAATTGGTAATTCTAGTTGTCTAAAATGAAAATGCAGGGATAAATTATAAAAAAGCAGCATACTCTGATACATTGAGGCTATCTGTAATGGTGGAATATTTGGTTAATGTCCTAGTACAATTTTGGAATTGTAATGCAATATCTTTACAAATATTAAATTAGATTATTGTTAAATATTAAAGTCTTGAAATAAGTGCATTAAATAATATAAGTAGATTGAATAGTAAAAACATTTCTAGAGAAATTTACATTGTTAAACATATTTGTGTCTCTGTATTGGTTTGTAGTTTGAAACATAAATTATATTTTGCCAACTGAATCTGCTTTCTAATATCCGAAACTGGGATGGCCAAAATTGGTTCCCCTACCTCTTCTTCCCCATGTCATTACTTTCAATATACACCAAGATGTCCTGCTAAATGTGGTGGGCAATAGAGCAGGGTTCCTTTTTTCTATAGAGAGGAGGGGAAGAGTAAACATAGTATTTCCATTAGCCTACCATGTTTCTCCAAAAGGAAGACACTGTATTACTTTCTTTTGAGTTCTGAAGTAAGCACAGTGTATTACTTTCAGGGAAAGCTTGCTTTTTGCCGGTACTGGCATCAGTAGGCCACGAGTGCACAGGGGGTGGGGTGGAACCTGTGCATGGGTTGGAGAAGCAACGCAGTGTCGAGAGTGTGGTGGCGGACCAGTTGCTTCCCTCCCCCTACCAGACACCTGCCAAAACCGTGGAGAGTAAGGTTGCCACACCCGCCCTGGCCAGATGCCCTCGCCTCCCCCAAGCATTTTTTTACTAATCTGCCTTTCAGCTGCATTCTGTTTCTCTATTCGTTTCTCAGCCTTTGCCGTATGTTTGTAGGACAAAAAAAAAAGTACAATCAGACTTTCTAACTTCTCACGAGATCTCAAGAAGTTAGAAAATCTGGTTGAACTTTTTTTTTTTACCGGTACTCCCACAAACACATGGCGAAGGCTGAAAAGCAATGGAGAAATGGAATGCAGCTGAAACACAGGTTAGGAAAAAAAATGCTTGGGGGAGGCAAGGGCATCTGGGCGGTGGCGGGCAGGATGTTGAGGTGGTGGCCAGCAGAGGCTCGAGGAGGGATGATGATGAAGTGGGCGGTCGGGCCATTGGCAAGAGCAAAGCAGCTCAGCAGAAAGCGGCCTCAGAACAAGTTGGGCAAGTAAGGAAAGAAATCCTCACTCCCCCCAGGAATTCCCTTTCTTTCCTTACCTGACTCCCAGCCCCGTGCCATTTCTCCTTTGTGATCTGCTGCCGCCGCATGCAGAAAAACAAATAAAGTTTTCTTGGGGGAAAAAAAGGTGAATCAATCAATCAATTTCAACCTTGCGGAAAAAAAAATCTCGTGAAGTTGGGCGCCAAAACCGGCCATTTACCACCTCGTGCGTCGTGCCCAATGCTGCTGCCATGAGGCCACAGAGCAAGCCGGGCAGCGGTAGGGAACCATTATAATGGCATGTGGCTCATAAGGGGAGAGGATCCACCAGGCCTCATGGCAACAGCATTGGGTGCGATGCATGAGGCAGCAAATGGCCGTAGCCGGCAGCAAATGGCTGCGTTGTGCAGAAAACAGCCATTTGCTGCCTCCTGCCCAGGCCGTCTGTGCAGGCCCTTAAGTAGGGCTTACTTTTGGGGGAGAGCTTATATTAGGCCCACCCCCCAAAAATCAGCTGGGGCTTACTTTCAGGGCTAGATTTACTTTCGGGGAAAGACGGTAGTTGTGTGTGACTGGTAATGCTTACAAAGTCTCTGCTATGCAAGGGTCTTAGTTTGAGATTGTTGAAATAACATTGTCCAAGTTTTTTCATTCACACAGAATCTGTTAAGGGGAAAAAAGTTTAAATAGCTATACACTTCCACACAAATACATATAGAGAAAGAAATGCATGTTTGTGAGGTTAGAAAGAAAAAGCAAGGTGAAAAAGATACCTTGGGTAAAAGTTGATTTTTTTTTAATACTGTCAAAGTCAATAGGAAATGAATTTGAAACTGATAATAATAGCATTTTTAAAATATATATAGGTTTCTGCAAATGCTGACAGCCTTGTACTGTTTCATTGTTCATTTTCACTTTGTTTTCCTACAGATATATATTTCTTAGGCAATCAATTATATAGTCACTAATAGCAGCCCAAACAATGAAAAAAGTTTAGTGAACCATGCAATAGTTCAGTTTAAACTTGAGTGACTTCGTTTGTACCTCAATGGAAAAACAAATGTTTCCCATGCAATCATTGCTATTTTTGTTAAAACTTTAGTGCTTCTTTTGTTCTAGTTCTAGATAGTTATGCAAGTAAATAATATACTTCAGTTAATTTGAAAATAATTTGCTTACTTCTTAAATGACAATATTTACATTATCATTTAACAAAACTCTCATAGGAATGTTATGAAAAACCATATGCCTTGAGACTTGTACATCTGTTCATATACAGTAATGTTCTTAATTAAAATAAATGTACTAGGAAGTGTTATTATTTGGTTTGAATGTGGTTATTGGGTGAGAAGTAATGATGTTGTAAGTAAATTAATTTTTGCATATTATTAAAGATATGAAACATTTGAAAAAATGATACTATTGCTAAAAATTACTTTTATTAATCTAAGCCAATGGTTCTCAACCTTCCTAATGCCGCAACCCTTTAATACAGTTCCTCATGTTGTGGTGACCCCCAACCCTAAGGGCTCTTCAAGCACGCACTGACGCCGCCCACTCACCCGTTGCGCCCGGGGCTTAGCGCTCCTCGTCTGTCCTCGCCTCACTTCTGAAGGTTGCCGGCCTGCCCGGCTCCAGCTGGCCAGGGAGGGGGGGCAGGAAAGCCACTCTGCCAGCTCCACCCAGCCTGGTTGGAGAAGCGCCCAGGCGGGGAGAGGGAGAGAGAGAGAGAGAGAGAGAGAGGGTGACAGCGCTGGTAGAGCTTAGTTCAGCCTCCTCTGCGGAAAGGGCCATGAAGCAGCGCAGCTTCCATTAGGAGATGCTCGACGGAAACGAATCTGGCACTGCAACGGCCCCCAGCTCGAAACCGTGCAGAGACAGATAGAGGAGCAGTGTCTCAGTTCCTAAGACCATCGGAAATATGTGTTTTCCGATGGTCTTAGGTGACCCCTGTGAAAGGGTCATTCAACCCCCAAAGGGGTCGTGACCCACAGGTTGAGAACCGCTGATTTAAGCATTCATTTACTGATCTTGTCAGTTGGCAGCATCTGATTGGACTGGGAAGCTAAGCAGAGTTGGGCCTGTTTAGAACTTGGAGGAAATATATCCTGGAATACCAGAGTTTAAAGTATACCAGAGTATATTGAAAGTAAAATGAAAACAAAAACTATTTACTAAGATGTGTTGGTAAACCAATTCCATTTCCCAAAAAAGGTGCATGAGTATATCCATGAACTCTCCAGGAACCAAATTTGATTCAAAGGAGATTTTACTTTATCCCTATAGTACCTTTGAGGAACTTATTGAGAACTAAAAATCTCCTGTATTGTGGTAGCTGCTTCCTTTCTATAACCTAATTTATTTACTTTGGGTAATTTTGTCTTTGGGTAACTCTAACATTTTTTTGTTTCTATATATTGTGGGCATGTACTCTATTTTTGTTATTTCCTATCTAGCGGATTTCATAATAACAACATTAGGTCAATACCTGAACAGGCATTTATGGGCAACCCATCACTTACAGCAATGTAAGTTATAAAAGTTTACTTTTTCTAGAAACTTTTATTTCTTTTTCTGTTAATTACTTTATTTCATTATAGATTAAATTTTTTAGTATTTTATATGATATGATGTTTCTCAAATATTATTAAATTCTAGCTTCTTTTATATATACTGTATTGAATCTTTAATCTGAATCTATTCATTGGTGCCATCTGCCATTTTGTAGTTTCCATATTCCTTAATTTGATAAGCCATTCTGTACTAGTCTTATCACATTGCCAGCTTAGGTAACAATTACATTTGTTCCAGTGAAACCTAATGAGCATAAGCTTTCTGTTCTATGTAATATCCTTTTACACTGAACTTAATTTTGAGTACAAATGCTTATAAAAATTGCTGATATAACTGTAACATATTTTATTTTACTAAGTTAGAATGTGCATAAACTTTTTGGTCCCCAGATTGCATTTTTTACTGGCTGTTTTCTTATGTTAGTATATTACAGAAAGAACTGATTATTTGGATTCACTCAAATTAGTGTGCAACATAGTCACCTTTGTGGATAACTAATGCTGCAGAAGCCACTTACGCTTTTTACATTTATATGAAACTACTATATAAAGTCATTCAAGTTCTGGGTAAAAATGTTATCTGTTTCATAGACATTTATACTTCTTGCCTCTATTTTCTATTCCCCTGGAGGCAAGAGAAATCCTTAAAGGATGCCTGACAATAGATTGGAAAAAATAAAACTTAACCTAGATTAAGATTTTGGACCTGAAGATTAAGAAAGATGTTTGCTCAGTTTTATTTTAAAAAATGATTTAGTATATATAATTTGGGAAGCAAATAGTTCTGGAGATAAGCATTCAGTAAAAAGATTGCAGGCAAGGTCATAAATCCTTTTATGAGAATATCCAGTAAATTGCATCAGAATTTCAAGAATTAAATCTTACAGTGTTAAATTCATTTTCTTCACAGCCATTTTTATGATAATCCTATCCAGATTGTGGGAAAGTCTGCTTTTCACCATTTACCTGAACTCAGAACCCTGTATGTATTTATACCTTTAAAAGCACATGAGCTCCAAACAAAAATTCTTTCACTCCTTAAACCACAACATTAATACATTGTGTTTGTAATTATAGAACATTAAATGGTGCTTCAGAGATGACAGAATTTCCTGATTTGACTGGGACCACAAACCTGGAAAGCTTGTAAGTATTGGATCTATAGTTTGTTATTTTTGAAAATATATGGTAGCAGTTATTTTAGATGTCCAGTTTCTTTAAAGGAATTGTCCTTCAATCAGTAATTTATTTGTAACCAAGTGTACAAAATCATTGATCCTAAATTTGTGATGGATTTGAATTAGCATGATCTAATCTATATATTGAGCTGTTAGGCTTTTTGGTTGGCTGACTGACTCACTGATTGCATAGTGGAGAACCAGGTGAATCTATAGGTTCCTGATATGATTTTCTTTTATCTCTCAGCCTTTGTTGTTGTTGTTAATTGCGAAGTCGTGTCCGACCCATCGCAACCCCATGGACAATGTTCCTCCAGGTCTTCCTGTCCTCTATCATCTTCTGGAGTCCATTTAAGTTCACACCTACTGCTTCAGTGACTCCATCCAGCCGTCCCCTTCTTCTATTGCCCTCAATCTTTACCAGCATTAGGCCCTTCTCCAGTGATGTCTCAGCCTTATCCTTGTACTAATCCTCTTAAATGTATGCACATAATATTGATTACAGATTCAGATATGCTGTTCTTCAACAGTGAGAGAATTAACACTTCTTAATTCTTATGAATTAGACCAATAGCACTGAATAGAAATATCACTCAGATTAATATCACTTCAGATTAATCTGCTATGGACTAAATTAGTTTCTACTGTAATTATTAACTATTTGAAATTTCTTATCCTAATAGGATTCTTACAGGAGCTCAGATCACAACTCTTCCAGAATCAATATGTGAGCATCTCCCTAATCTCCAAGTACTGTAAGTATAGTGGAGAAAGGATGTTAAATCATACCACTGATTCAGAGAATACATACAATATTGGTTACAGGGAGGTTTACAACTCTCTAAATCAGACATGTCAAACACAAGGCCCGGGGGCCGGATGCAGCCCACGAAGTGGTTTCATGTGGCCCACGAAACTATTCTGGAAACAGTGAGGGAACGGCCCCCATTGCCTTGGCCCTGGCCCAGGCTGGCCGGGAGCCAATGTACAATTTTATGGTGGCCATCTATGCTGAAACACATTCAGTCTTAGCTCCACAAGGCTGTCTGGAAACAACAATGAACCAGCTCCTGCCACATCGCCCCCGCCCCTTGGGTGCATGCTGGGGAGGTGTCACCTTTGTGAGGAATGAAGAAATGCACCATCGCGCTGGCCACTTCCAGGCGATGGTGCATTTCTTCATTCTTCACAAAGGGTGACACCTCCCCAGCTGCGTTTCTTGCCTGTCTTTCTTCCTCCCTCATCTCAAATATCTTCCCACCACTCTGTACTTAGGAAAAAAGGAAAGGAGAGGGAGGGTCTGAGGGAAGTCCTACCTTAGTCCTACCCTGCTGCCCTTTCACCATCCCCTTGCCCCCTCCTCCTGGCCTATGCTGGGGGTCTCCCATCCTATTGCTAAGGAAGCTTTGGATACAAAGCCGGATCTCCTCCCATGGAGAGGGAATGGGCCTCCCTCTGACTTTGCCCTTGTACCCATCATGAGCAACCTGGCTAAGGAGAGCAAGCACAGCAGCAACCTTGAGGAGGAGGTAAGTGCAGCTGGGCGCCTCCTTGGGAAGTGGGGGTAGGCTTGGTGCCGCGGGTGCTTGAGGGCTAGGCTGGGCGTTTGACCTCTGCTGCCCAGGGCTCCGGGCAGCCCGCACCACCATCTAGCCCCCCCTCCCCCGCATGGCCTGAGAGGAACAGTGAGGCTCTTCCAGTGGACCATGCCTTGGCACTTGCCCTGGTTCCACCCCCTTCTGCCAGAGACCCTCATATCTGTCTCACTCCTGCTCAGGCCCCCACAGGCACCCTTGATGCAAACGATGTAGAGCTGGCCATGCCCACCCAGTAGGCCACACCCACTCCATCCACACCCACCCAGTAGGCCGCACCCACCCTGGCTACACCCACTCAGCCCCCTGAGGGCAACCACAATGCTGATGCGGCCCTCAATGAAATTGAGTTTGACACCCTTGCTCTAAATGATAAATCATCAATAGTATAATGACTTCTTAGAAAGGGAAATCTGGGTTGAAATTAGCCATACATTTACTATATTAATTTAAATAAAGAATCTAGAAACAATCCTCCCTAACTTTGTACTGTCCAGATGTGTATTGGTATTGGGAAAAACCTTATAAAATGGGGGAAAGAGGTGCTGCCCTAGGGAACAGTCAGATAAGAGATAGCATAGCCTACAGCTGGAGAGTGGACAAGGACTCACTCAGGTTTCTCAGACAGCAGGAAAATTATATTTCCAGACTTGCAAGATTATGTTAATGTATCTTTGCATTGAAGCAGAATTAGCTTAGCTTGTCCTGTCTTCTATGTGATCTACCTAATAAGCCTGACAAGATGTGACACATCAAAACTCTTAGAAATTCCCAGGGAACTTTACCCATTTGGACGGTGTTATTTTAGGATGCTTTTTAAAAGATGCTTTTAAAAATCAAGTTAATGTTATAGGGTAGAAGAAAATAATACTAGAATTGGATAATTCTAGTAGATCAAGAAAAACAAACAATACTGTAAAGAGTTCAAATCAGAACTAGCAAGCTGATTTATAAGTGTTTTAAGGGGAAATTTTTAAGAATGTGCACAATAATTTTACCAGTTATTTACATTTCTTCCTATGTTTCAAATTATTTTTAAAAGTCATCAGTTTTTGGAAAGCACCCTGGATGACAGGAATATCCTATTTTCTTTATCTTATATCAAATCCAGACTCTAAAATCTTTCTACAGGACAGGATGCTTTACTGAAATATGTTTTCTTTACATGTTAATACATGTTTACATTGAAATAAAGTACACAATACGCTATTAAGCAATCCACATTTGCAATATAATGTTCTGTAACTTTTTTCCTCTCTTACATTTATTCAGTTTGAACATTGAATAGTTGCTCTGAGAAAGCTTTTTTCTTATAATGATTAACCAGTGTATTGTTGTAACTTTCAAGAACTCTATGGAAGTAGCTTAATCACTATCAAAAATAATTCTTCCTCATTCTTTGTGAATCAACTAACTATATTTTCCGTATACCATTACATCATGATGGATGTATCTGGTACTTGTCTGCTCAGTGAACATTCTAGCTACATTAATTATAATATACATCCAAAGTATGTTACAAAGTAGCTACAATTCTGAGAAAAAAAAATACTTAATTTACTGGGACCACATTAATTATTGTTAGCCAGATATCTCTGTATTATTGAAATGCCTCTTTGCGAATATCTAATACCATTAATCTAAACTGATTTGATAGATAGATAGACAGACAGACAGACATGAGAGAGAGAGAGAAAGGGAGAGAGAGAGAGAGAGAGAGAGAAAGGGAAATATCAGCCATTTGCACATGTTACACATTTACTGTCTAATATATTGATTGGAGTTATTCCTTCCTATTCACCTGTCCCTTAGTCAACAAGATATCCAAGTCTCAATTAATAGATGTGGATTGGCTTTCTCTGTGAACTAAGATGCATCATCTCAGATTGGTCCAGGCTCTGAACCACATCCTTCAAGTCTTTCCTACCAAGATATAGAGATATAGTAATAGGAGTTCCTTTCTTTAATGCACTTTTCAGTTTTACTGCATTTGGTCATTTTTGTAACTGACCTTGGATTGCATTCTCCAGATGTTTCTTTATGGCTTCATGCTTCTGAAATATTTACCTGTATGAAAGTTTGCAGTGTTCTATAAGTATGGTTTTTTTGGTTTTGGTTTGGTTTTTTATCCTCACTTTCAACTCACTAAATAAGTCTCTCTTTTGGTTTGGTATTTTATCCTCACTTTCAACTCATTAAGTAAGTCTCTCTTTCAATAGTCTTTTATTTGAACTTGTTGGAAAGGAAATGTAAAATGTTTTCATTTGTAAAAAAATAACTGCTGTTTAACAATATTTATCTAAAGAATTTGAAGTATGAACAACCATATTTATCTTTTAAAAATGAGTATAGGAATAAAATCTTACTATTTATGGCTTTAAAAGGAAACAATGGACTCTTGTTGTTTACAGAGACGAAAGTCTTATAAAGATGATAGAACGTTACCCTATTACACAAAGGAATACAGGATACAAATCCATTTCCCCTTTTTCTTTTTTCTTTTTACAATTTCTGAAAATCACCATGGCTTGTATTTGATTAGTTATATTATACTATAAATGAGTCCAGATGTTTCAGTTATTCTGTAATCTGTTAGGTTTTGGTTCAGAACATTTGAAGGGCTTTTCCCCCTTGTAATGATTGATTTTCAAAGTGACTTCTAGTTCTCAAAGAACTTTTCACTACTCAAGATATAGCCATTCTAAAGGTCAGATGCAAGACTGCTTAATTTAAAGTGTAGTCTGGGAAGGTTATTAAATTTCACTTTGGTTGCTGCTAAAAATATGGGATTGTCCTAAAACAAAAGAAGTAGATTATATAAACCAAGTTTAAAAATATGTTTTATAAGAAAACTAGATCTAGTATTCTTCTAATAACAATCTTTCTGCAAAAGAAGTTATAAAATAAGTTTTTAATTTTTAGCTGAACCATATGCCTTTTTGAATTTCTACATTTGTTTTTCAGAGATCTTTCATATAATCATCTGGAAGAATTGCCCTGTTTCACAGCTTGTGAAAAACTTCAGAAAATGTAAGATTTCTTAAATGCTGTATCTGTGCACAAAGAATTTATCTGTGAATGTTTGCTTATATTCAGAATTTGATGTTTTTAAAATTAAAATAGCCTACCAAACTGTTCACTGCTTGGGCATGTATAGTTGAGTATAAGCTCTGTGGAGAAAAAACAACAACAATGTTTTGAGCTTTATAGCAGAAAAGTGTTTGAGAAAGTGCCAGAGTTTAATATTGGAGTTATTCTTTTTACCTTACTTGAGGCAAATTTTTAAAAACAAGATTGCAATATGCTAAAATGTTCAGTAGTCCTGAAAGTTACTCTTGAATTTTGGGCATTAATAGAAATTTTCCTAAAGCTTTTGTCTATAGCTTCATTTTTTGCCATTTCAGTACTTTACATCACAATGAAATATACGAAATCCACGTGGGTACATTTCAACAGCTGGTCGCCCTCCGTTCCCTGTGAGTATCACCATAAAATAGTTCTTTATAGTACTTGATATTGAGAGGCATGGAAGCTTAAAAATTTTGTGTTTTTTTTCTCTTTGATTGTTCAAATTGCTGCATTTGATTTGCAAAAAGGAAACAAAGATTCTGACATTGACAGTTTGCAGTAATGAATTCACACAGCCATGCATCAAGAAAAAAAGCATCCTTGAAGTAATTTCACTTATAGGCACCACTGAAGAATAAACAATTTGAATTATTCATGCATAAAACTTTTTATTACTACTCTAATGAATAGATTACAAAATTGCAGAAGAATGACTAGATTTTTTTATTGTAAGTTTTTTATTATTATTTTTCTCTGTAAATTATTTCAGTTTGTTTTTCAATTGAATTATACAGCTTATATGTTATATTAAAGGGGGGAAATATTCTGAAGTGATTTTTTTTACATCTCTGAACCCTGGCATTTTAACAGGGTGTGTAGACTTTTTATGTCCACTGTATGCCTATAATAATGTACTTGCTGCAAATAAGGAGGTGTATAATAGAGGTAGGGCCAAAAAAATGTGAAAGAAAATGTTGCAAATAGGAACAGATTGGACAAAATTGGTAGGGATAGACAGAGAAACAGATGGACCAAAATGAGAAACAGAAACTGTGGATAGTATCAGTGGACCTGGCTTATTGAAATATAGACACATGCAGGCATGCACCTCTGCCTGTCACTGATTCTGTTGCACAGTTTAGTAAAGATAACACTAGCTGTGAACCATAATTGTAGATCATAATTTTGATTCTGACTCCCAAGACATTTTCAGTTCAGAGAGAAAGGTGATTTAGTAGATGAGAAATGTTCTGTGAGCATGGATGTGTGAGAAATGAAAGGAAAATGATACTTACATCACGGGTCATCACGTGACACGTCACAACGTATCACAACTCTTTTGCATTGCCAGCAATGGGGTGGGTGTGGTTTGGTATGATGAAGCCGGCCTGCGGGCCAGCAGTTTAGCACCCCTGCTCTTCATTATTTATAGGAACAACAGCATCATATTGCAGTTATGGCAGAGATTGCCCATCAATTCTTGATTTGGTAGGGAGGGAATAAAATGGGGAAAGAATGCATACATTTGATTGACCAGCTTAAAATTTGGTTGAAAATATTAAATTTGACATTAATAAATTCTTACTCAGGGGAAAATGGCTTTATGTCATTTAAAGATTAAGGGGACTTTCATACTGTTACCCTTTCTGCTTTCAGTGCTTCAGAAGTAGTTTAAGACTGAGAGTCAAAGGTAGATCTGACACTGTCTCTGCTGCCATTAATGTAGCAAACCTGAGAACAACGCACAAAGATTACTGCCATGCTCCATGTTGCTACAAGTCCTGGAGCAATAAACACACTCTTATATTCACTCAAAGCAAAATGAAAACAAACTGCTTGCATGCATGAACATTGTTCATCCATATTTTCATTTCATTTGCAGTCAAGCTATATTTCTATTAGAATGACCTGCTTTAGTGGTTGAAACCCAGGAATAGAAAAATGAAATGAAGCAAATGGGGAAACATAATCCCACAAATTTTGAAGAGCTGCAGCATCACAAGAAAATGGGCAGCATAGAAATATTAATTAATTAATTAATTAATTAATTAATTTGCATGGATTCAGACGTGTTCGCTGTTTCCCTATTCTGGAATAGTGATATCTTTGTAAATCAGTGCCTTTAAAAATCTGTTCTCATCAACTTTTGTGACTTTCAATCCATTTCATCATTAATTTAGGCACATTTTTCTCTGAAAGTTTAAAATCAATTATTGGAAGCAATATCTTCCTGTTAATATTTTAATAAAAAGATTCAACATTATGCATTACTAAGCATATGACATTTTATTTCTTGTAGGGATTTAGCTTGGAATAAAATCACTATTATTCATGCCAATGCATTTTCTTCTTTACTATCCCTTATTAAAATGTAAGTAACTGATTATTTTTCTTATTTTAATGTTTGATTCTATGATCATAATAATATGGATTGAGGTAAAGTAGAAAAATCTGAATAACTGTAAAATAGAAGAACAATATAAAAAGTAATCAGTTCTTTCTTTCTAACTGAACAATAATTTTATAGTTCTACACTGCAGTTTGCAGCAGAATCCTAAATCAGAAAGTGTCAGCATCAACTTGCTATTTTTATGTTTAATTGTCATTTTGAGTTGTAATTAAACTGATACCCTTCTTATGAATACTAAATGGGAGGGATCTTAGGACTGGTTCTGTGGAGAGAGGTTTTTCTGCGTGGTTTCATGTACTGCCTGCATCCCGTGGAGGGGGCTTTGTTGTTTGCATGGACCAGTTTCTGGCATGCCGTGGTCTGGTGCCCGTCCACGGCCTGGGGGTTGGGGACCTCTGTAATAGGGCAAAACTGAAATGCTTTAAATTAAATGAAATCTTTTATAGTCAAACAAGAGGTTGTTTCCAAAAATTCTCTTCGTCTTTTGTTGGAGTCTCCCTGCTAATGGTAGAGATATTTTATATCTTATAATCGACTATTTAATAGTATAAGTGGAAGGCATAAACATTTTCTTCCTGTGAGTGCTCAAACATGTACTGGTTAAAATATTGAACAAGAACCAGGAAGAATACATTTTTAGTCCATCCTCAGCCATTAAGCTCACTAGGTGATTTGGGGAACAGTCATTCACTCTCTCTGCCCAATCATACTCCTGTAGTTGTTGGAGAGAAAAGTCTGGAGGAAGGAATGTTATGTATCACTAATGTGGAAGAAAAGTGTGACATAAATCCAAAAAACAAACACATTGAAACTTTATGTTTCTTAAGATTTAAAACTCTTCTCAAGTCTGGAGGAAAGTACACAGCTTTAAGAATCACCAGTCCTACATTGTTCTTGTTGTGCAAAACCCAGCCCAATTATTGCCCTGACATGAAGGTGGAACTGTGAGCTGTAAAGCAAGCATTACAGTAAGGGCAAAGTTAGGGAGAGGAGAGAAGGAAGAAAGGTAAAGAATCTCTAGGATAGTTTGCATCTATCTTGCAAGAATGGAGGCTTACTGGAATGGGAAAAAAAATCTTGCTATTTTTTCTTCTGTCCAACAAATGTGGAAGCTTGCTAGAGAGGAATAAAATTAAGCAACAGAGGTTACTGGTAGCTATAGCAGCTGTGTACAGTATCTTTCACAGGGTTGCTATTCCTTTCTGAGCCTTTAAAAAATAAAAAAGAAATTGGTTGATGGGAAGGTTTTCTCAGCAAATCGTCAAGGTCCCTCAGTTTCCTTCTCCATGCAAATCAGAATTTTGCATAGGAAGTTGTATTACATGGTGTTTGGAGGTTTTTAGGTCTGTATAAAGAAAAATAGATTCAGGTTGAATCCTAACAAGATGATTAATTCTAGAGATACACTCCATCTTTAATTCTGAATGGAACTGTCCATAATGGAACTTGCTCACAGCTTGTGCACCCCTCTGAACTTGTGGCTCCTTCTTAGTATAGAATAGAATAACAGAGTTGGAAGGGACCTTGGAGGTCTTCTAGTCTAACCCCCTGCTCAGGCAGAAAACCCTATACCATTTCAGACAAATGGTTGTCCAATTTCTTCTTGAAAACTTCCAGAGTTGGAGCATTCACTACTTTTGGAAGCAAGTTGTTCCACTGGTTAATTGTTTTAACTGTCAGGAAATTTCTTCTTAGTTCTAGGTTGCTTCTCTCCTTGATTAGTTTCCATCCATTGCTTCTTGTCCTGCCCTCAGGTGCTTTGGAGAATAGCCTGACTCCTTTGTGGCAACCCCTGAGACATTGGAACATTGTTATCATGTCATCCCAGTCTTTCTTTTCATTAAACTAGACATACCCAATCCCAGCAAGCATTCTTTATATCAGTGTTCCATTATTTTTATATGTTTTAGCCTCCAGTCCCCTAATCATCTTTCTTGGTCTTCTCTGCACTCTTTCTAGAGTTTCAACATATTTTTTACGTTGTGGTGACCAAAACTGGATGCAGTATTCCAAGTGTGGCTTTACCAAGGCATTGTAAAGTGGTATTAACACTTCACGTGATCTTGATTCTATTCCTCTGTTAATGCAGCCTGGCACTGTGTTGGCCTTTTTGGCAGCTGCAGCACTCTGCTGGCTCATATTTAGGTGATTGTCCACTAGGACTCTGAGGTCCCTCCCACAGTTACTACTATTGAGCAAGGTACCCCCTATACTATAGCTGTGCATTTGGTTTTTCTTGCCTAAATGTAGAGCCTTGCTTTTTTCACCATTGAATTTCATTTTGTTAGATAGCGCCCAGTGTTCAAGTCTGAATGAAGTCTGAATCAAAATGAACACTGGAAACTGAGGAGCTGAAGATCAATTCTGTACTCACAGTTCTTTCAGGTTTCTGAGGACATTGATAGAAGTGGGAAATTCATTTTGATTGTTGTAATTTAAATCTCTGAATTGGAAAAAAAACACACCCCTCGTTAGATGCTACCTAATCTTCATATTTGAAAGTGCTTATCTGTTTTGCACTGCATTTTTAGATTTATACATTTATAGAACTTTTTTTATTTATAAAATGTATTTGCCACCCATCCTGTACCCAACAACTCTGAAAAACATTAATATCATCCATCGTAAGAACACAGCAGATAAAAACATTAACTGATAAAATTATGGACACAAGCTGGCAAAGAAGAGAGCTGAACACAAGGGAGAGGGAAGGGGGTTGAATTTAAATTAATCAACCACCTCCAGTATGAAGCTTTCCCATTGGATGTCCAACACATGTGGCAGAGTCAGGTCTTAAGGCTCTTACAAAAAATTAGGAGGGTGGGAAGAGAGGGAGGGGGGGGAGAGAGAGAGAGAGAGAGAGAGTTTTCTGAAAGTGGAATATATATTTGTCTAGAACAATATTCCTGTTGGTTTAAGAAGATAAAAAGAATTCACGTATGGGGAAAAATCCTGTTGCAGCATTGTAAGCTGATTTTTTTTGGTTGTTACTTTGTTATTCTGCAGGGATCTGTCATCCAACCTTTTGTCTTCTTTTCCTATAACTGGTCTACGTGGCTTAACTCATTTAAAATTAACAAGAAATTATCCACTCCAAAGTTTAATATCATCTGAAAACTTTCCAGAACTCAAGTGAGTACCTCATTAAAATTAATAGGGCACAGTTGTTCTCATGTACAGTTGAAGGAGTGTGACTGTATAATGTGTGCTACTTCTTATTCAAAGTCTTTGAAACACAACAGTCAAACTAAGCTATACATCAGGGGTGTCAAACTCAATTTCATTGAAGGCCGCATCAGCATTGCGGTTGCCCTCGGGGGGCCAGGTGGGTGCAGCTATGGTGGGTGTGGCCTACTGGGTGGGCGTGGATGGAGTGGGTGTGGCCTACTGGGTGGGCATGGCCAGGTTTACATTGTTCATGTCAAGGGGGCCTGTGAGGGTCTGGGCAGGAGTGGGACAGATCTCAGGGTCTCTGGCAGAAGAGGATGGGACCGGGGCAAGTGCCAAGGCATGGTCCATTTCTTTATTCCTCACAAAGGGTGACACCTCCCCGGCATGCACCCAGGGGCCTGGGCCGACACAGCAGGGGCTGGTTCCTCACTGTTTCTAGATGGCCTTGTGGAGCTAAGACTGAATGTGTTTCAGCATAGATGGCCACCACAAAATTGTACATTGGCTCCCAGCCGGCCAGGGCCAAGGCAGCGGGGACTGTTCCCTCACTGTTTCCAGGATGGCTTTGCAGGGCACATGAAACCATTTTGCGGGCTGCATCTGGCCCCCGGGCCTTGTGTTTGACATGTCTGCTATACATGGTGAAAATTATAGCATTAAAATATTCTTGTTTATCTTGAAAAAATGTAATTGTTTTTGAACATCCTGATAACTGCTCATTCTAAAATACACCTGTTTTTCAGCAGTACTTTTGAATATATTTATACTTGCAAATACTTTGTATATATTATATTGTATACTGGAATGCTTTCTCTTACTTAAATGTTGTTTCATAAACTATAAATATTTTAGAGTGGAAGAAATATAGCAATTTGGGAAAAAGAAGGGGAAAAGGGTTTATATAGTTAGCTCATTTTTATTTTACTTTCTTCCTATCATTTTCCTGAAAGTGCAGGGTCCACTTTTTCAGATCAACATAGTGTTGATCCATTGGTTGTAACAGAAATTGGACATCATGGCTAAGGGAGAGTGACTGACCCAAAAACATCCAGCAGGCAGGACTAGAATTCTCAGTCTCCTAGTTTTTAGCCTAGATCAAACTGACTTTCTTATATAGTTACATCACTCTTAGAAGTAAAATACTTTGTCATGTTCACTTAATGAAAAAGAAAACTGTCATAACTAAATCAAAAGTGACAAAGATTGTTCATGCTCTGTTATTTTGGGCAGGCAGCTGGAATCTAAGAATACTGTATATAAAGACAGAGGATCTCAAAGCATTATGGTATACCTTCATCCAGAAACAATGGTGGATATTTAGCTGGCATGGAAAGGTGCTTTGTAAATCTGCCATAACATCAATCATCATCAAAGGAAATATGTTCATAAATATTGGGTGATGGATGCCAAACATCACAATATTGTGTGACCATCAGAAAATATGCTGTTCTTAACAGTCAGCAAATGATAATGCAATGCAGTTATTTCTCATTGGACCAATCTCCCACTTTACTTTTTTCTTTTAAACAATCTCTGTATAGCATTAAACCTTGTGATTCTCTCAAACCCGGGACATCTTCATCCTGTGTGAGAAAAAGAACACTCACAACACTAGCACCAAAAATGAAAAGAATAATGACAACATATACACAATGTTCTGAAGCATAGATGGTTTTGGAAGAATGGGTTAACTAAATTTAATATATCTGTCAAGAATCCTGAGTTGATATTTAATTTTTTTTATTAAATTTTGACATTTTACAAAAACAAAACAAACTTCCCCCCAACCTCCCCAACCCTCCCATTCCCTCCCCCGACCTTCCCAGAGCTGGATATAGGCTTAATTAGAATTTCATCAAAAAATCTTAAAAAAAGATATAAACCATAAATAAATCTAACATTAGTTAAAAATCTAAATAGATTAATTAGAAAAATTATAAAATAATTAACAATAGTATATATATAAAAGAAACATGAATACAAAAGATAAATGTTTAAAAAAGAAAAGAATGAAAAAAGGGAAAAAAGAAGAACAAAAAAAGGAAGAAAAAAAAACCAAAATATTCCATTTTAAATATAAATTGTTAAAAAAGTAGATAATATTTTTATATCTAACTTATATTGTATAAAATCTATCCATTTTTTCCATACCACAACATACTGTTCTTGCGATTGATCCTTCAGAAAAGCCGAAATCTTTGCCATTTCCGCCAAATAAGAAACTTTAAAAAGCCACTCTTGCAAAGTAGGCAAAGATTCCTTCTTCCAACATTGCTAGCTTCTCAACCACAGAAGCAAGTCCTGTTAATGCCATAACTATGTCTTGCCTCAGAATAGTATTGTTCTGCTCCAAAAACTCCTTCATTTCCCCTCTGATTGGATTTTATTCTGCTCTAAAAGCTCCTTCATTTCCCCTCTGATTTGAGATACAGCATTTCCCATTATATCTTTCATATCTTGTACCGTTATTGTTGGCAAAGGAGGAGAAGGTGGTGGTGTAGCTTTAGGTTGTTGTGCTGGTAGAATCGCAGGAGAAGAAGCCACCTTTGGAACTGTAGAAGCTACTTGTCTCTTTGAAGCCATTTTTTTTTTTTAAAAAGATCTTGTTTCTTCTTTCTTCCTTCTTAAAAAAAGAAAAGCAGTAAAAAATATCATCAAAAAGAATAAAAAAACAAAGGAGAGTTTAGAAAATCTCAAATGCAGCTTTTAAAAAAAGGAAAAAAGTTTAAAAGAAAGCTATATAGTCCATAACGTTCCGTTTGACTCACTTTCTTCCGGAAAAAAAAAAAACTTTCAAATCACCATTTTACTTTCACTCTCCACCCAAACAAAAAAAAGAGAAAAAGAAAATCAACCTAAACTAAAAATCAAATAAAAACCAATAAGTTCAATCCTTTACCCAGCTCTGTCCGTTTTAAAAATAACTCACCAAGTTTCTTTAAGCACGGAAGTGATAGCAGCGTTTTGCTTTGTTCCCAAAGGAACAAAGACAGCTGGGAGGCGGAGACAACCCAAACTCCAAGGGAGCTCTCTTTTCACCCCCCAAGAAAAAAATTCCTGGGGGGTTTGAGAGGCTCTACCTCTATTCGGGTGATTCTTTTCCCCCCCCCTTCGCCCGGGAGGGGGATTTCGAGCCGCGGGACAGCTGGTATCTGCTGCACTCCGCAGTTCTCACGCTCACCCAGGAGGACGGCTAAAAGGTAGCCGCCATCATCGACACTATCCACCGGAACAAGAATCCTGAGTTGATATTGATTCATTGTAATATTACATACCAGTTTAACAAAAATGATTAGTGTGTACTGAGATAGGCTTATATATGTAAACAGTTTGGTCTACATCAAAATAATGTGTGTAACCAGATATGTCTGTTATTCTTTAGAGTGATAGAAATGCCTTATCCTTATCAATGCTGTGCCTTTAGAGCACATGACAACTACTATAAAATCCAAAATCAATTGAACAAAGCTGAGAATGGCAGTGCTGATGAATTTCAAAAGAAAGATAGTAGCAGGTTCCATACAAACGGTAAGCACTGTAAACATGCACTAAAACATATTTTTTAAAAGGATTTGTTTAGAATTAGGCTATCATAATTGATGATCAAATAAATATATGTCTTTTCTAATTTTACCATTTTAATGCCTGAATATCAATATAACATGTCATTAATCCCTGTAAATCTATATTTTAAATTTTTATTGTAATCAGGTTGCAAAAAACTTGAGGTGGTAAAAAATTTACATTTCCTGCAATGTATACATGCCTTGATAATAAAAGAGTTATCTTAAATGACTCTTGAAGTTCTATAATTCTAAGTACTTATGAAGAAGACAAATTTGATGTTTAATTAAGATTTAAAAGCTCTTAATTCTCACTATAACTACATATTAAATATTATTATCAATATTAGTAATTAAATACTGTGATTTTCCTTCCTATAGATGAATATGATTTTGAGGATTTTTCTCTTGACTTCAATGATGATCTGAAAACTCATCATTTAGTTCAGTGTTCTCCTTCTCCAGGTAATAATAAAATTATTTCAGTAGAATTGTGTGTATTTATGAAAAAAAAATTCCTGTGAAATTTTATTATACTTTCTAAGGAGAAAAACCTTTTAGAAGCTACATGGAGTACCTGGGTATGCCTCTGTAGTACAGGACATATACTCATTTCTTATTCATTTATTTTTTAAAAAATTGATTACTTCCTTGGGAAGTATTATTTGTCTAGGCTATATATAAAACAAACCAAAACATAAGGACATAAAGCATAAATTAAAATGAATTTAAAAGCCAAAATTAAAAAAAAAAACTGTACTTAAAAATACAATATAGAAACAGAAGTTCCAGAGAATTAAATAGCTGAAAATAATTTAAAAACTCTTCATGTACCATTGAAAACCTAGTCCAGTACTGCAACTTTTACTATCTGGAAATTTCACCACCAGGGAATTACAATCAGAATGTCCAAAGTACAGTGCTTGATATTTCGGGACAACTGAATTCCTGGAGAACTATTACCTAACCTTTTCCTAGTATCTACTTGAAAGCCACCTAAAGATAAGTTTAGTTTGCCTTTAGTACATTGTAAGGAATAAAATAAAAGTATCACCTATGCTATTCCTGTTCAAGAAACATTCTCAAAAGGAAGAAAATAGCAAATCGTCTTCCAGCTAGATAAAAAAGAGATAAAAGTTTTACGTCTAAGAACTTAACTTCAATTTAGATTCTCAAAAAATGGGGAAATAGATGGTTCCTCAGCAAACCAGCTGTACTGGATTTAGAATATTATTAAATATTTAATGATTCTTCATCTAATTTATTTTACTTTTAATTGTAATTTATTTGGTTTTGTTTCGTGATATATGGTTTTAATATGTAATTCAGCCAAAAAACTTATGGGGAGCATAAAGCTTGAAACTGTTTGTCACCTAGAGGTGACTTTAGGATGCTTGAAAAAACAAGAGAAAATATTAAAATATTACGATAATAAATATTAATAAAATTAACAAAGAAGCAAATAAAGAAGCAAGGTGTAAATGAGGTGGAGATAAAGATGCTCCCATTGGGTCCCCAGGTCAAATGGCAGAGCCAGATTTTAATGCCCCTGTGGAAGGTAAGTGTGGTATGTCACCTTGAGGGGAATAATATTTCAGAGGGCAGGAGCCACAGTAGAAAAGATTCTTCTCCTGGATCCCACCATTCAATTCCTTGACTGATGGGGTCTGCACCATTCGCCTTCTGCTGGTGTGGGTGCGGCAGGCCAATCCCATTGGAGTAAAATGGTTCCTCAGTAACCTGGACTGTTGCCATAAAGGGCTTCAAAGATAATGACCAACACCTTGAATTTGACCCAGAAGCAAACTAGCAACCAGTGCACCTTGCACAACAATGGTGTTACATGGGCCACATTGTGGGCCCCAAGAACTATGCACATAGCTGCATACTGTGTCAGCTGAAGCTTCTAAATAGTCTTCAAGGGTAGCGCCATATAGACCATATTGCAGTAGTCGAGACATGAGATGACCAGGTCCTGAATGACTGAGCATAGGAACTCACAATCCAGAAAAGGGTGCAACTGGCGCACAACACGAAGTTGTGCAAAAGCTCCTAGCCACAACTGCCACCAGCTCATTGAGTAAGAATCAAGCGTCCAAGAAAACCCACAAATTGCACTCAGGGTCTGCCTGGGGCAGTGCCACCAATCCAGAACTAAAGATGTTAAAATTCCAGATCCTGAAACCACATTCACCCAAAGCCACTCAGTCATATCAGGGTTCATCCAAAGCCTATTGTCCCCCATCCAGACCCTCACAGTCTCCAGGTACCATAGAAGAGCAATGACATATTATTGGGTCACCAGGGATGGAGATATAAAGTTGAGTATCATCAGCATACTGATGGTACCTCATCCCATGATAGTGAATGATTTCACCCAGAAGCTTCATATAGATGTTAAAAGGTACAACACAAAAGAACAGCCTCTCACTCCCTATTAGTACCATTTGGACCAGCCTTGGGGAAAGGGGACAAACCAGTGAAAGACTGTGCTGCCCAGCTCCAGATCTCACAGCCGACCCAAAAGATATCCAAAGGCCTCTGACAGGTCAAGGAGAATAAGGATGGATACACTACCTCATCCCACTCTTACAAAAGATCATTGACAAGTATGACCAATGTTGTTTCTGTCTCATTGGTTACCTTCACTATAATGTATTTGTCAGTGCAGTTGCCACAAAAAGTAATAAAAACTGGACATAGCTAAGCTTACCATGACTTTACTTTTTCTGTATTTTCTTTGTAGGACCTTTCAAGCCCTGTGTTTGCCTCTTTGATAGTTGGCTGATCAGAGTTGGAGTTTGGACCTTAATACTTTTAGCATTTATTTGTAATATATTGGTTATTGCAACAATCTTCCAAGTTCCATTGTTCATCTCCTCCATAAAGTTTATAATTGGACTAATAGCTATTGTAAATACTCTCATGGTTGTGTCTAGCTGTGTGCTTGCTAGTGTGGATGCATTAACCTCTGGAGTCTTTGCTCAATATGGAACTTGGTGGGAAGATGGAATTGTTTGTCATATCATTGGAATTATCTCTGTCTTTGCTTCAGAGGGTTCTATTTTCTTGCTCACCTTAGCAACTGTTGAGCGTGTGTTCTCTGTGAAATATAGAACAAAATTTGAAACCAAACACACTCTAACTAACATAAAAATAGCCATCATCTTTTGTTTTGTACTGGCTTTAATAATTGCTGTGATTCCAGTGCTCAGTGACAGTGAATATGGAGGTTCTCCCTTATGCATACCACTACCTTTTGGAAGACCATCAGGTGTCGGTTATACAGTTGCAATGGTCTTAATAAACTCTTTTTGTTTTCTTATAATGACAGTAGCATACACAAAACTCTACTGTAGTCTGGACAAGGGAGAAATGGACAGTATTTTGGATTGTTCCATGATCAAACACATAGCCTTATTACTTTTTATTAACTGCATTCTCTATTGTCCTGTGGCCATCTTATCATTTTCATCATTATTAAACCTGCATTTTATTGGCCCAGAAGTCATCAAACCAATACTTTTAGTGATTGTTCCCCTTCCTGCATGTTTAAACCCACTTCTCTACATACTTTTTAATCCTCATTTCAGGGAAGATCTGAGAAGCTTTCAAAAGCAGTCATTTGGATGGAAAACATCAAAACATGCTAGTTTGCTCTCTGTCAATTCAGAAGATGCAGAGAAACAGTCATGTAATTCAACCCAAGCTCTAGTAACCTTTGCAAGTGCCAGAATATCATATGATGTTGTTCCCAGCAATCCAGTAGTGCCATCATCCTGCCAATTAAGTGAAAGCTGCAACCTTTCATCTATCACATTTGTCCCATGCCACTAACTTCATTTCAAAGGTATTGGTGAGGTTTACAAAATAAAAAATAAAAAAATAGATGAATGTGCATGTATTGCTTATATAGAGAGAAGCAACCAACTATTCTTATTTTATAGGAAATAAAACAGAAATTGTGAAATTTCAGTACGTACCCAATATTATGTTTTTTTCTAAAACGCACAGGCTGGTTATCTTTTAGTATCCTGAAAAATTCCAAAGGCTGGTAGCATTTATGCAATGGACTGAATTTTGCAAAGGGAGCAAGGAGAGGAGGAGGAAAGCAAATTCTAAGGAAAGTAAATAAAGTTTCCTTCTGGGGATATTTTTGTTGTAATGAAACTTCCACTCAACTACTCAAACTAGAGAGGGAATAATATGGCAAAAAAATCCTACATATAGGTAACCCTCTATAACCAACTGCTTTATTTAGCGACCATTCAAAGTTACAACAGCATAAAAAAACAGTTTTAGACCAGTGTAATATGGGTAGTCCTCAATTTACAGCCATTCCTTTAGTGACTGTTCAAAGTTACAACAACAGTGAAAAAAAGTGATATGATTGGTTTTCACACTTAACAATTGTTGCAGCATCACCATGGTCATGTTCAGTTGCTTGGCAACTGGCATGTGTTTATGATAGTTGTAGTGTCCTGGAGTCATGTGATAACCATTTGTAACGTTTCCAGCCAATTTCCAACAAGCAAAGTCTCTGGGGGAAGCCAGATTCATTTAATGACCACATGATTCACTCAGCACCTATGGCAAAAGTCATAAAATGGGGCACAACTCAATAACTCTTGCTTAGCCAAGGAAATTTTGGGCTTAATTGTGGTCATACGTTAAGGACTACCTTTATATAGCTGAGCTGCTCTCAATATACTTTTTGCAATATGTCTGAAAGCCAAAAATGTTACATGTATAAAGGAATCCTGAAAACAGAAAATACCAAATAGAAATGGCTTCTGATCTTTGCATAACTTGTTGGCATCTGAGATTCAGTTGTATCTTAGGATTAACTTAGTGGACTTGTTTAGAAGAATCATAGGAATGATATGAATAGAATAACTTACATTGAAGGTCTGTGCTGTCTGAATTTTATCCAGTTGACATGCATTCATGGAAATAACATGAAGAAATTATGCACAAAATATATATTTTTTAAATCTTATATTTTGAAACAGTGAAGCCTGGAGATGGAAGTCTATTCTTCAAACCATGTCAAATTAGAGATCATCTGCCAATTCTTGAAAACATATCTTACTACTTTATTTAATTTTTTCACAGTGGTTTGGTAATATGTAAATTTTCTCTTATGACTGCATTTACATTTCTATACAAATTTAAAAAGTGAAATAAAAACATTTAAGAATTACTTTAATATTAAAAATAAACAGCAGATAACATAAATCAGGATGCAATGCATAATATTATTAAATTGCTTAAAAATAATTCAAATATAATTTGGAAATATTAAAATTCATTTCAGAGAAGATCTTAAAACAATATGTAAATATAGATTTATCTTTATAGTGAAATCATACTCAAATACGAAAATAAGGCATGTCGTTTCATGTTGCTTTAATTACTAGATTTCTATTTCTAGCTCATATCTGTTTAAATTTGTGATCTTTAAATATGTAAATTTCTACTGATTGTAAATACTGTTGTTTTTTTTCTACTGATGTTTGAAACATGTAATTTGTAATAAAATTTGCAATAACTCCAGAAGGATCATTTAGTCCTTTAATTCTCAGACATATTTCACAGCAATTCCAGAATATTCTCTATCCTTCTTGTAATTTAATTGCAAAATGAAGTTTGTAAGGTTTCTTTTTCCATCAAAAGAAATAATACAAACTTTCTCTTAGTATAAACATGTAGATTTTTACAGCCAATATCTGTTGGGCAGTGTTGAGGTTCAGGATTATGACTGTAGTCCAGACAGATTTCCTGCTGGCAATTGTGCCTGGCATCTTCAGAGGCCAAGTGGTCTAGCGGGCAACTGAGCAGGGACTGATTCTCCTATCTTTATAAGCAGATGATCTGAGTTCTGATTGATCTTTAGTTGAGCTTGTTTCAGTTTAGTGATAGTTGTTGGTCTTCACTAATGTGCTGATTAAGTAAACACTACCACATATATATATTAAAAAATCCTTAAAGACACCACCAACATACTGTATACATTACACTAGTATATTGTTCACCTCTATGGGGAGAATGTTTTCTAACAAGTACATGACTAGAAGCTCTCAGAAGCAAGAAAACATATCTTATTTGTTCCCTCACATTTTTACTTCAATGCCAAGACTGCACAACAATTTTAAACTTCCTGAAAATGAAAAGAATCTTCAAGTGTCCATAATCTCATCAGATATACAGCCACATTGTAGTGCTGCCCTGCTCAGTTGCCTGTGATCTACATAACAGGTCACCTTGCATCTGAACAGGTAACATTCTCTTGACTTAGTATATTCAATGCAGGCAGATGGACTATGTGTCCATAATTGCATCTTCTAAATGCCTCAGTTTATATATTTGTATTAGACATTATGCAAGCATGTAATTGTAGTATTGATATGAGATGATATCATTTCTGTTCAGATGTGTATTCTAGGCACTAGAAGAACAAATGAAAATGTAAAACTTTTGCAAAAAGCACAGATACTCTGCAGGAAGTCACACTACAGTAAATAATATTTTGAAATCAGAATCTAAGTGCAATAATGATACAATTCAGTTTCTTTCGGTCTATAGTTTTATTCTGGCTATGGTATCTATTTCAGCTGTAGTCCTATAGTTCTCGCTAGATGCTGCAGGAGAAGAATTTTCCTTTGGGGTAAAATGAGTGCCCAACCTTGGGGTTTAGATTCTTAGTTTTCTTAATATCTGTGAAGTGAACATTGGCAGTCCATGCTTTTTTACCTCTAGAAATCTTATGTTGAAGTACAAGAAGCAACGGATGGAAACTAATAAAGGAGAGAAGCAACCTAGAACTAAGGAGAAACTTCCTGACAGTTAGAACAATTAACCAATAGAACAACCTGCCTCCAGAAGCAGTGAATGTGCCAACACTGGAAGTTTTTAAGAAGAAACTGGACAACCATTTGTCTGAAATGGTGTAGGGTTTCCTGCCTGAGCAGGGGGTTGGACTTGATGACCTCCAAGGTCCCTTCCAACTTTATTATTATTATTATTATTATTATTATTATTATTATTATTATTATTATTATTAAGCATTTCAGAATATTATTACTTTCCTCCTAGCATCAGTAAGACAAATAAGTTAAAGAAATAACAAAATAAGCCATGCCTTTTGGAGTAAATGTTGTCTATACCCCTCTGTCAAAGAGGTTAATAACCTAGAATCTTCAAAATGAATAATGATGTTGTTTGCAATCAAATTACAGAGTCCATGCTGCAAGCACAATAGAACAATTTTATCAGATTTGGAATAGGAACAGAACAAATTGATTGGTAGCTTGATATGAAAAAGCATGCCTTTTCTGTTACATCCTCCTGCCCTGTGGAATACTCCCTCTTGGGGGGCTGACAGGCCCCCACTCTTTAACCTTCCACAGAGCATTCAAGACCTGACTCTTCCTCCAGTGCTGGGATAGGGTGAGGTCATAATGGAAAGAGAATATGATGGGTGACAGCAGGAATGTATGGTTGCAGCACCCGTTGTGTCAAATCTTAATTTGGTCATAGATCTGCATAAAGAGGGTAGGTACAGTCAATTAAATTAAATAGAAGTTACATCAGATGGGTGGCTATAGAAATGTTTTAAATTGAATGAATGAATGAATGAACGAACGAATGCCTTTAGGATTCCTGAATATATTCCTGAATTAAAATTAAGTGTCATAAGAGACCACTTGGGTGCAGAGGTTAAAGATATCAGGCTAGCAACTGGTAAGACTTCTAAAAAAATGTTGCCAAGAGAATCGCATGGGCAAGGCTAACTCAAAGGTACTGGAGGAGCATCATACATGATATATATATGCCGTAAGCTGTCCAGAGTCAATTCAATACAAGACAAGCAGCAAATAGATTAAATGAATAAATAAATAAAATACATGACAAAAAGAGGTTTGTCAACTGTCGCAAGAGCTGCCAAAGTGGTGCTTTAGCAATTTGAAAGAGGAACCTTCAGCACTGGGTCAAACATCCAATTTCAGCTCTAGGCTGGCCAACTTAATATCCATCCTCGTGGAATCTTAAGGTTTGCAACTTGAGTGCTCATAAATGGTCACATACATCAAGCATTCATAAAATTGAAAAATGCAGTAGAGAAATTTCTTTGATAAGTTGGAGAAGAACATGAGCAATTAGTTACTTTCAGTTACAAAGATGTGAGGCAGGGAAGCATGCTAAATCATTTTGTGACTAATTGTCACTAGACCAGAAAATTAAAAAATACAATAATATACAAAAATATACAATCATAGCAGAACTTTCAGTAATGATGGGATGACCAAATGTATATTTATACCAGCATTATTTTCACTTTTCTATTCTAGGTGGCTTTTTCAAATTAGTGATAAAAATTCTAGAAGATTTACCACAATTTTATGCATAAATCTAGATGATTATTGTACTTTTGAAGAATTGGGTTTCTTTTTGTATTATTCATTGTTGAATTTAATTAACCTGATAAACCCAGACCAGAAATATTGCATGCTACTTTCTTAGAAATCATACCTGGACCAGAGATAAAGATGAGCTTCATGGTTCTGGATTTTATAGTGCTCAAATGACTCATGAGTTCTATGAACAATGATACTATCTTAGAGAGAATCAAGAATATTCCCTCTTCTGAATTACACTGATTATACAATAGTATGTTAAAGCTTAGGCATCCCTGGTCAAATTCAAAGAATCACTAAGTGAACAGAAACTGCCACAGAAAAATTTAAAGATTCCTTACATGCATTGTAGGGGTCCCCTACCAGGCCGTGAGCTGTTCAAAACTGGGCTGCCCAAAATGGGGGGGGGGGTGAGGGTGTGCATCTCCCCTTGTACAAGCAGCAGGCAAGCACATTCATTTACACGAGCAGTGGACACGTGCACGTTGCTTGTGCAAATGGAGCTGCATGCATGTATGCTTGCCCACCGCTCGCACAGAACCATCCCCTTCCCCACCTCACTGATCTACAAAGCCAGAAAGGTTGGAAAACTCTGATGTATTGTATGTTTTAGAGTTCCTCACTTCCTATAATATTCAAATTTGGGGGCTGTGAAAGCCATTCAAAACCTTTATTTTGAGCTAGAAGTGTTCTGCAAAGTTGGGGGGAGGATGAAAATAAGAGCAACAGGAAATATTTGAAAACTGCTATTCCTACCAAACATAAAATTTTAACCAAAGAACTAATTATTTTCTCATCATCAATCTGAAAACAAACGTACATAAAGTTTGTATTCAAATTCATAGAGAATTTGAAGACATTCAATTTTCCTCTTGAGAAGGCCCCTATCTTTTCACTTTCTTTCTGGGCCACTTTAAAATGTTAATCCAACATCAGGTCAATTATCAAAGAAATAACTTCTTCTCAAGTAAAACCTTTGTTCTAGGTTTGAAATAGTGGCTATTTTGGAAAGAGTGTCTTGGTAGTATCCCTCGACACAGAACAGCTTGGTTGGCATTTTATGTGTGATTTTCCAGGCTTTGAAAATTGTGAGTATCCATATTTTTAACTGTAATATTTAGTAACATACTACAGTGGGGCAAAAAAGTATTTAGTCAGCCACCAATTGTGCAAGTTCTCCCACTTAAAAAGATGAGAGAGGCCTGTAATTGTCATCATAGGTAGACCTCAACTATGAGAGACAAAATGAGAAAACAAATCCAGACAATCACATTGTCTGATTTGGAAAGAATTTATTTGCAAATTATGGTGGAAAATAAGTATTTGGTCACCTACAAACAAGCAAGATTTCTGGCTCTCACAGACCTGTAACTTCTTCTTTAAGAGGCTCCTCTGTCCTCCACTCATTACCTGTATTATTGGCACCTGTTTGAACTTGTTATCAGTATAAAAGACACCTGTCCACAACCTCAAACAGTCACACTCCAAACTCCACTATGGTGAAGACCAAAGAGCTGTCGAAGGACACCAGAAACAAAATTGTAGACTGCACCAGGCTGGGAAGACTGAATCTGCAATAGGCAAAAAGCTTGGTGTGAAGAAATCAACTGTGGGAGCAATAATTAGAAAATGGAAGACATACAAGACCACTGATAATCTCCCTCGATCTGGGGGTCCACGCAAGATCTCACCCCATGGGGTCAACATGATCACAAGAACGGTGAGCAAAAATCCCAGAACCACACGGGGGGACCTAGTGAATGACCTGCAGAGAGCTGGGACCAAGGTAACAAAGGCAACCATCAGTAACACAATACGCCGCCAGGGATTCAGATCCTGCAGTGTCAGACGTGTCCCCCTGCTTAAGCCAGTACATGTCTGGGCCCATCTGAAGCTTGCTAGAGAGCATTTGGATGATCCAGAAGAGGATTGGGAGAATGTCATATGGTCAGATGAAACCAAAGTAGAACTGTTTGGTAGAAACACAACTCGTGTTTGGAGGAGAGAGAATGCTGAGTTGCATCTAAAGAACACCATACCTACTGTGAAGCATGGGGGTGGCAACATCATGCTTTGGGGCTGTTTCTCTGCAAAGGGACCAGGACGACTGATCTGTGTACAGGAAAGAATGAATGGGACTATGTATCATGAGATT